CATAGATCTGATGATCGCTAGAAACAATGCTACATGATCGAATTCATTCTAATTGATTAACATTACATTAGCTTAAATCAATTATGAAGTTATATGGTTTCAGAGTCTTTTTTTATATTTCTACACTTGGCAACGAAAAAAAGCTATCATTTTCAGTTACGTTTTTGTTTATTTTAATAAAAAAAAAAATGAAAAGAAAAACATTTTCATACTAATTGAGCTTTGATTATTTTTTTGTTTCTTTCCTACAGATCCAGTGAGAGGTAGATAGAATTTTTAATGTATTTTGTCTTTATTTTGGTGGAAAGAAAAACACTTTGATAATACAATAAAGCGACTTGTTTCATTTGAAAACGGATATATGAAGTGGAAAATTATCGTCTGTATACTAATCATCTTTTGCATTACGTTAAATATAACTCTGCTCATGAGATTGATATACACACATAATGATAAAACTTCTGCTTTCATCGAATCTGCAGCATTTATCAAACTGCTTACTCCGATTACTTCGAAACTATTTCCACCAAATACAACTGCCATTTTACTACCAATAATCGAAAATGTATCAAAGACAGAGACGCGAAATATTGTTCCTAGTAAGTTTACAGTACAAAATATAGTTACATCGTCCCAACACTGAACAACAAGCTGTTCATATCCGATAGTGAAGTAAATTTGCTAGAAAACTGACACCGAGGTTTATTTCCAATTGGGTTCGGTATTTAGCAGAGGGGCCTAATTTCGTATTCTAAGGGGAAGGCTTCTGAATACTATTACATTTTTAAGATCACAAATAGTTAGAACTTTTACGACTTCATGGAAAAAGAGTTCGGTGGAGTCACTACCAGTTTATACGCGACTTTTCTTGCAAATCGGCCAAAATTATTTATAAGTGCGAGACCTATAAGTAGCATCAACAAATATTAAGTTACGAAGAACAAGTACACCTCTTCAATGTGCGATTAGTCTAAAAATTTTGAACTTATATGTCAAGTACGTCTCAAGCAAAAAAAAATGCCTTTGAGAATATCTTTCTATAAATATATACTATCGGACAATATCGACCTAGCTATCCGTACCACTTTTCTTGAATTAGCTAGCTATATCGCGGGTATGATAGCTAGCGCCTAGATATCGTACCCAATACACGGTTGACGAAAAACACTGATCAGAGTAGCTATTTAGTTGGTATATTGATCAATTATCGCCCGATATATTGTGGACAGTATCTGATGCCACCAAGCCACTAGCTATGAAATTAGATATATTGACCAATTATTGTCCGATATACTGACTCGCGTGTTGACAGTATGAAGGATCCTGTCTACATTGTATCCAGGGATCTCTGTATACAGACATTCTGCTTTCTGTAATATATTTACAGAAAGCACTATTTCCCAATATATTGTTCTATTATTGCTTAATATATTGACTTGATATGAATAAATACTTTGTAAAATTGCGAAGTATATGTTTTACATATATAGTACAGTGGCTGCAAAACAAAAAGGTGAGTAATCTGATCGTCGATATATCGAGTAATATATTGGGCTAGCTAGCTATATTTAGTAATGTATCGTGCTAGCTAGCTATATCGCCTAATAGTAAATAACTTAATTCGAATTGCTAGTCAGCTAACTCGCTCGATAGTGATGTGTTTTTTCTGCTTGGATAAGAGAAGCCATCTTTATCGTTACTCGACTTTTGTTATCTCGTGATTCATAAGACTTTTACAACAGGAAAAATTAGATGCTTTAAAGTTCGTTCCTTTATCAATATTACACACAAAGATTAGTATTTTGTTTATATCAATAATATAGAAAACAGCTTTTCATTCATCTCACAAACTTAAATCGAAGCAACAAATGAAATAAGTGCAAAAATAGCTACGACATAATTAAAAATAATGAAAGTAATCCTCATAGATCAAAAGATAGCAAAAGTCAAGTAACGATGAAGATCGCTTTATCTTTTACTTGAGATATAAGTCTGGAATTTTTAGGCTAATCAGACATTTAAGAGAAGTGTTTGAGGAAAAGGTTTCAGCTTTCAATACCATTTCTTTTTTTGAGATATGAGAAAAACAGTAACAGCGTGAAACAGTGATGCGCTCTATAAACTGGAAAAGTTTAGGGTCAAGTTGTTTAGTAGAAATCATACTTTAAATTTCGCACTTTACTTATCGAGCCCAATTTTCTGCTCTTTTGAAATAATCTACTGTTTTTCATAGTGCCGAATTATCTTCTCATGAATGTTACTTCGGATGGATCGGTTGTGTATCGACGTATATATAATAGACACGTAGTAAATATATCATCGTTCAATATCCAAGATTTAGATTTATTTAATAAAAATAATAATTCTCGTAGAAAAAACGAGCCATCATTTGTATTATACTTAGAACCACATAGACAATTAACCGCTGTTGGTCAGTACTGTTATAAAGGACGAATAGAAGAACAATCGATTAATCTTATGGTAGCAGGTAAATAGGAGTAAGGTGCCAAAGATTCAAAAGCTGAGCACAATTTTTGTTCTGGTTAAATCATAGATCATTCGAAAGAGAGCATCGAACTGAATGAGAAAAAGTTGATTTTAGCTTTTCAAAACATTTTTTTTTCGTTGCATAATCTTAAAAACCCGAAGAGTCGGATTTTTTCGGAAAACGCCAATATTTTTATAAAGCAATTCAGCTTCTCTTCTTTATCCTTCTTTTCAAGTTTTCAGACTAATCTTTTCTGATATGATATTAAAAAGTGTTTTTTACAAATGATTGCCTGTGAAAGTATTAGTCTTTTGAGTTTTGACAGCCAAGACTAGATCCCTCAAAGCGGTACGAGGTGATTTTGTAAACCTATCTAATTTTTTATGTTAACAGCTGTAGCCAAAATTGTTATCTCATCATAATTGTTGGGTAACGAGCTTCAAAAATACATATCGGGTTGTTTTTACTTTACTTCCTCCCTAAGAAATTTCACTTATATTAAAATTCTAATATTTCTGTCCAAAATCAGGCTCGTATTTCGCCATTTTCTACATCAAAATTTAAGCTTTTGACAAAACGTTTCGACAAAGTTTTGTCCAGAAATTCGAAAACTCCCACGATTCCACTCAGTTTTAATGCTGATTTCGAATATGATCTTGTTTTTGTCGAAAGCTGTTAACATAAAAACTAAATAGGTTTACAAAATGACCTTGTACTCTCTAAAAAGCAAAATAGTACATAATCGAGCCTTAAAGGTTCAGTAGGCGTTCCCCAAACCCATAAATGGTTTCATGATTTTTTTCCATAACGACAAACGTTCGTAAGCGAAAAAGTTTGGTAAAATTTGTACTAAAGTAGCACGGATCAAGCACTGAGTTTACGAAACCAGAAAATGGTTCCGTATCATTCTTTAGTTATCGAGTAGCGGCAATTGACACTGAGTGCAATGACATTCATCCGTGTGCCTGTTTTCAATGTAAAAGAAAAACTGGAGGGTGTACCTTCAAATTTGTTAACTTTTTAATTTGGGAAGTTGCCAGAATATACACTAATTTCATAGTGAGTACAATCTTTGTTTTGGGTAAAACGGTAAAATTTGTTCTTTTCTCCATTTCTTGTTCTATCTCACTCTAAAATCAACTTTTTCTTATTCAGTTCGATGCTTTCATTCGAATGATGTATGATTTAACCAGAACAAAAATTGTGCTCAGCTTTTGAATGCCCCGAAGTCTATAAACGCTTTGAAATTATTTATATTAGTTCATTTTATTTTAAAGAAAATCCTCGTTCGTGTTTAAATCATGCATATTTGATTGATTCTGTACATGGTGTCACGTTACAAAAACGTCAATGTATTCACTTTGACGCAAAGAATATCGAAACCAACCCCGGTGAATATCCAAAATTATTTAAATTTGAAGAAATTCGAGTTTAGTAAGTCATTGTTTGAAAAATGATTTATTTTCTTCAGCAGGTAAAATTTCTTTATTCATAATTTAGTAATGAATTAGTAAGATCCTCAAATGATATAAAGGCAACAATTATTAGTAAAATTATTTTTCATTTTCATCGACAATCGTTTATTGATTATATTAATGAGAGAAGACGATTAAATGAAAGAAAAAAACAAGTAAGATCCGGTTAATGAATGCTACATGCTTTGTTGTTATGAATGCTTTGTTATTTTTTTAGAATAAAACTGATTTTAATATTTATTTAAAAACGCCTAATGAACTCGTAATTATATTGAAAAATGCATCTAAAGTAGGTTATCATCCTTGTAAAGGGTATATTACCGAGCAATATAATAAAAGTGAACAAAATAAACAAGTATACCGTTAATATTGCTGCATAAATATATACTATACTAATCATACAATATCTTCAGGAAATTATTGGAACACAAGCTCAGTTGATATATATTAGAGAATTAAGAACAGCAACAGTTTACAAAATATGTTTGTCATGTTTAATTTCATTGAATGTTTACGAAGAAGAGCAATGCAAATTCACAAAAACACTGAATAAATCAACATCTGTAAAAGTTGCCGTTGTTACGACTATTGACAGATTAACTGAGACCACTTCTTCTTTCACACCGAAAAAGATGATGTTAACAACGGTTAAAACAGGTAAGTTAATATGCTACAACAATAAAATATGGTTCATATATTTCTCTTATTTGTAGTCATTTACAGATTAAACAATTTCCATATATCTATATCAGTTTTGATAATTGTCATGATACTGCTTGTCTGCGTGTAAGAATATCCGTGTAAACTGCACAATTTTAGCTTAAAATCTTCTTGTATTTATTTCTAGTTTGATAGTAGCTTGCATTAGTCCTATGAACAAAATATCCGATTCAGATTATCACCATGTATGTTCAAAAGCTGTCTGTATACAATTTTGAACTAACCGAAAAATATCATTTTTATCTTCCAGGATCCATCAATACCACACTCTCCTGAATTCATTCCAATGGTCAGTAAACCACTGTTATATTGTTATTTCTTCTGCATTAACCTTTTAGTATCCAAAGATGAATATAACCGATACACTCACACTTTATTATAAAAAATGAGGAACTACATATAGGTTTATGAACAAACAGTACGTTAGATGTGGTAATTCGACTGTGCTAAATTGAAATTCCTCACAGAGAACAGAGGGAGAGAAAATCTATCATTCAACGCAAAGGAGGAAAACAGAATAGAGAAAATTATATATGGGGAAAATCCCAGAACATATAGAATAGTGCGCAAAAGTATATATGTGCATGTTTATAAGAAGAATAGCAGAAGTGATGATATGATTTAACCGAAGGTGAAGATCATAACACCTCCGCCCTACAACAAAGATGCGCGTCCCGCGCATCGAACAACTATTAGTGCATGAAATCATTATTGTGCACACCCATATGGTGGTTATTGTGGTCCACTGGAAGTAGACGTTTGAGTTGCCACACCTCAAATTATCCATGTAGATGTGATGATTGGGTATATTGTCGAAATATCCATAGTTTGATAATGCTGAGGCGTTGCCACATCGCCTTCAGTCACCATTGGTGATGATAATGATGCATTATTGTAGCAATACACATGAATTATGGTCAGATACGCCGCTACTCAGCCGGTTGTAATTGACTAATATGAGCCATCGTGGTTTTGCCTGTTTCAGTATCTTCTACCATAAAGTTTTATTCCGTTCATCCAATTTGGTACGATTAGCACATACCTTGAGAAACACTAAGTCATCAATAGAATAACAATATCCTTGCGATGTTTGTCATACCGTTGTTTTGTTAATCGTTGTTGATGACGGATGTTTGCTTGAGCTTGTTTCAGATTTATTCGCCGTGTTTTTATGAAATGTTTGTAAAAGGCATCCGGTTGATTTAAAGTGAAATTGTCTGACGTGGGATCGAATGGGCTCTTCTGTCTTCGTCCAAAAGCAAGTTCATATGGGACAAAACCAGTTGTAGCATGACTACCGGTATTGTAGGCATAAAATACCGATTGAAGATTATCGTCCCAGTCATCTTTATTTTCATCATAGTACTTTGACAGCTATGTACAAAAGGTAGAGTTGAACCGCTCGACCTGACCATTTGTTTGAGGATGGTACGAAGCTGAAAATGCATGAGGAATACGCATCATTGTGGTGATATTCTTCATTAATGTGTTGTTAAAATGTACACCATTGTCTGTGATAATTCGTTCAGGGGCGCTATGCACTATAATGAATTCGGCAGCAGCCGTAGCAGTATTATTTGGCATCGCTTTTGCGGATTATCCTGTCTTCATAAATCCAGTTTCATAAATCAAAATTTTATGAAACTTTTTACAAGTTTCATAAAATTTTTCATTTTTATGTAACTTGTGGATTAAAAAAATCAACATCCAAGTTTGCTAAAGTTTATGAAATTTTATAAAAAAAATTTTTTTTTATTGAATTTTTCTTCCTTATATAGAAGAAAAATAGAAAAAGAAGGAATGATGATAAACGTGATGCAATGATAAACAGAAGAGAAAGATAAGAAGAAGGAGAATATTCTTATGTCAGGCGATTCCTGACATAACAGTTTGTCACCTTAAAATGCAACTTTCCTTGAGGAACACCTATTTATTAGCACATTTACCCGTAGACTCATTCATCACTAATTGAAATGTTACCATACCAGCGCCTTTTATTTAAAATATTATAAAATTATGATCATCATTCTTACTGTTCAACATATGCCACTATGAGACTTATACTAATATACTACCGTAACAACCTTCTCCACCAAATCTTAGAGATATCTTAGAGACCACCAATCTTAGAGACATCTGCAGTTACCTTAACTCATCAATTAAACCCATTTAATTAACAACCATAGGTCTCTCGGGGACATGTGCTGATTAATTAAGAAAATTTTTCTCTGAGAGCCATGCTAAACTTTTTATGAAACTTGTGGGTTAAAAAAATCAACATCCAAGTTTCCTAAATTTTATGAAACTTTTTACAAGTTTCATAAATGTGTGATTTATGAAACTGGATTTATGAAGACAGGATATCCCGCTTTTGTTATTACATATTTGGATAAATTGTCCGTAAGGACTAGTGCGTATCGATTTCCTTGCGCTGATGTGCGGACAGGACCCCAGAAATCCATATGTAGTATCTGAAATACATCTGTTGGTGGATCAAACGATTTAAGATGACCTGGTGTTTTACTGCACAGGATGTTGAATTGTTGACAAGATGATATGTAATGCTCAATTGATTGGCGCATATTGGGCCACCAGAGCCGAGTACGAATTTTATATAACGTCCGTTGTACTCCAAAATGCCCACTCATTGGATGATCGTGAAACGCTTTGAGTGCGGTGTTGAGCATTGATGCACGTAAATATGGAACCTTGCTCTTGGTTTCATGTTTTCCCTTGGCCACAAGACGGAATAAAATATTGTTGTATAACACGAAGTTGTCTATTTTCTTTTGAGCATGAGTATGTGACATAATGAGCTGAATATCGGTATCATTATCTTGTTCAGTTTTGATCTTTTATGAACTAAAATCTGCAATTGGTGTGGATGTACTTAGAGGTGGTGTTGTGATGGAGTTTTGTTCTGTCACTGTTGGTGGTAATGAAGCACTTGGAGCTACCTGTTTTGTCATTAATCGAGTGATGGCGAAAAGCGACTGTTGTTGATTATCCGTGCCGATTGTATCATATCGAGTAAGATAGTCGGGTCCGATATTGTCAATGCCACGTCGATACTGAATCTCAATAATTTGTGGTATTAAATCTTGTAGATGTATCTACCAATTATCTATCCTTTTGTTCCCATAATTTTTCTTCTTATGCATATTGACAAGTGGTTTGTGGTCTGTTCCGATGATGATCTCGGAATCTCCGATATAATTTCTTAATTCAGTGAGACACCAAAAGATTGCTAAAGCTTCCCGTTCTGTGGCTGATTATCGACTTTCAATATCGTTAAGTAATCGTGATTTGTAGTAGCAGATTTTCGGTCCATCAACTGTCTTTTGCTTGAGCACTCCAGCAATTCTTAGTACACTAGCATCTGTGGATAAGATAAATGGCACTGATCGGTCTGGAAAATCGAGGAACAGTGGTGCACTTGTCAGTATTGATTTAAACTGATCAAAGGCATCTTGCTGTTGTTGATCCCACCGAAATTCATGTTTTTTCGGTCGTGTTTTATTAGTAACCTTGTGAATAGGTACCGCAATTTTTGCAAAATCTCGAATAAATTTACGATAATAGCGAACTTTACCAATAAATTTGTTAGCTTGTGAGAGTGTCTTTGATGAGGCAATATCAACAATTACTTTGACCTTGTCTGGTGATGGTTCTACTTTGCCACCTGTAACGATGTGGCTTAAAAATTCAATTTTCTCCACGGCAATTGAACACTTGGGTGGTGACAATAAGGGCTGTAATGACAGTGGTAATATCATTGATAGTGACACTTAATTCAACTGTACCATTGACCATAATATTGGTTCGCCCGTCACCGAGTGTCGCCGTTGTTTGAATTGGTGGATGCATAATATTGTCAAGTTCAGCTTGTGAAATGCGAGATGTGTAGCCCCCGTATCAAGTTTTTTCGTTGTTGGTGTGTCGTATTTGAGGTGGACCGTGTTGTGGGTAACGAGGTTGCTGTGATGAGTAGTTGTATTGTTGTCGTGGAATTGAAGAAGCTTGTTCTTCTTGCATGATAGGATGTTGCATTGTTCTTGTTGATATATTTCTGTAATGATCAAACGATGTGATAGCTTTCTGTTGAATTTTTTCCTTTTCTTGCCATTTATCATACTTGATAAGAGCTTGAAGAAATTCTTCAGTAGTGTCCGGGCTTTTCAAATCCATATGTAGTTGAGCTGCTGCATTGAGCCCTTTGATAAGATGTTTGAGTCTAGTTTCATCATCCATAGATTTATTAACTTTTGAACAGAGTTTAAGGACAATGTGGCAGTAGTCAATTGCCAATTCATTTGATTGTCGTCGTCGATTATAGAGTTTTGTTCCAACTGAAAGTGATCGGTACCAGTTATAAGTGTGAAGTAGGGCGTTAATTTGTTTTTTAGTGTTCTCCAAGTATCAATTGTATCCTTGTGTGTGTCGTACCATAGTTTAGCATTGCCCTTGAGAAGATCAATAACCACTGATAGACGTTGTGCATCGTCTGGTTAGAATTGATCACACTTGCTGCTAAAGTCGTCGATCCAGTCTGAGACCTCTTGTAAAGTAGATCCAGAAAATGGAGTAGAATCAAGCAGTTGATTGATTCGTTTGGATTGTAGTTGTTTGGCAGCTTGTTCCTTGAGGCTAGTTTCAGCCTTCATGACAAGAGGTGGTGTTGACTGCGACAATGGAGCTGTTGTTG